ATATGAGAGTATCTCGAATATGGAGGACGGGTGCAGGGTGGGAGGGATGTTTGCCTGATAATTTATGGATCCGTCGCCAAATAGCTGAAATAGATGTAGAAGATGTAATTGATGAAACAAAATTTTGCCAGCTATTTGTTTTGCTGTTTTTAATTGTACGGCGAAGATGGGCAGATGCTCTTTTAAAGGAAATAAGGGCTGATAGCTGGTGAAGGGTGCCTCGTTTGTAGCGATAGCTGTTCTAGGCTGCTCGTTTTAAGCAAAGCGCTTTGGTGCAATCAGAATTCCACCATGGAACACATTTAGAGGTATAAGGTCTTGAAGTTCGAGGAAAAAAACAATGTAGCATATCTGAAATGGACGGTAAGGGGGTTGGAGGGATAGGTATAGTAGAGAGTAAAGTGAAAGTATGCCAGTCAGCTCTATCAAAGCACCAGCGTGGAGGATTAGGAAGTGGTACATATGAAGTAGGAGAAAGGAGTTGGGAAGTGGTCACTTTAGGGGAAGTGGTCTAGAACTGATCAATGGAAATCTAGATGTAAAGTAGGAGAGCATAGAGAGAGGTCAAGGCATGAAAAGGATTGTGTGCGCATGTCAAAGTGTGTGGGGCGATCTGAATTAAGAATAATTAGGTTATTTGTGAAGAGGAAGCGTTCTAGAGATCGGCCTCGAGAGTTGGTGGTAGTGTCACCCCACAGAGTGTGGCGGCAGTTGAAATCACCAACTACGAGGAAGGGTGGTTGGAGTTGGGAAATTAGAGTCTCAAAGGCAGCAAAATCAATGGGATGGGATGGGGAGAAGTAGACTGAAATCACTGTGATCCAGCGGCGAAGAAAGATGCAAATAGCTGTGCACGGGACAGAAGTTTGTATGGGAGGTATGACATAAGGTGTTTTATGATGGATAAATATAGACGAGACATAAAGGGAGTGTGGGGAAGAGATAAAATGGTAATTGGGAATTGGAATAGGAGGGTGTGTGAGGAAAGTCTCTTGGAGGCAGATAATATATGGATTGTAAGAAGCAAGGATATGACGTTATGACGTAGGTCTGATCTATGAGCGGAAACCGCGAATATTCCATTGTAGGAGAGTTATATCCTAGTTGATTTACGAATGATAACGCAAGTACGTGTTGGGGAATTTGAAGGGGAAGGAGCTAGGGGGTGTAAAGGAGGGATATTAGGAGGTAGGGAATCTGGAGAAGGGCATTGTTGTGCCATGAGTGATTCTCGTATGTATCCGGGAGGGAGTGCAAAGGATAGAGGGGATGGAGGGAGGGAGAATGTGCCTATAGTTCGGGTTGAAGGGGGTGGGTTGTGTTGGGAGGGAGTAAATGTGGGGGGAGCATTAGTGTTAGGAGGATGAATATCGGAAGGATGGATAGTTTGAGTTGAAGGGGATGTGTTGTCTTGGGAGGGATTAGAAGGGGTGTAGGGGTGCTGTGAGTAAGAGGGGGGTGCATATCGGGAGGATGGATATCGGAGGTGGACGGAATTGAGGGGGTTAGGTTGTGTTGTGAGGGAGTAGGAGGAAGGGGTGTACGAGGGGGATGGATATCAGGAGGATGGGTATTGGGAGGATGGATATCAGTGGTGGACGGGATTGAGGGGGTTAGGTTGTGTTGAGAGGGAGTAGGAGGAAGGGGTGTAGGGGGAATATTAGTAGGAGGGGTATGCATATCGGCAACCACTTCTAGTGTGGAAGGAGCATGAGTTATGGGATCTTGTGTCTCAAGCATATAGCTCTGAATGTCATCCATTGTTTCTGCAGTGGAGTTTGTTGGAGAGTTTTGTGAGAAGGTAATTGTTTCTGCAATGGAATTGGTTGGAGAGCTTTGTGGGATAAAGGTTTTCTTATGAGGTGGGGAAGAAGAGACTGGTGTCTCAGGAATAAAGGTATAGGTAGGTGGAGGTGATTGTGCTGTAGGGGAAGAAGGGTTAGAACGTTTAGTCTGTCTACTGCGGGTAGTGCAGGGAGGGACAGGGGTTGGTGTTGGGGCTGTAGTTGAGATTGGGGTGTCTGGGTTTAGAATGGCAAAGGAATTGGTCTGAGGGATGTAGAATGTAGAAGTGGAAATGGGGACATCTTGGGGTGGAGGGGGAGGGGAGGAACGGTGTTACTAGAATATGGAGTATGAGAGAAACCTTGTCGAAGTGCTTCCTGTCTGGCTTCACGTAAAGTGAGACCATTTTTGTATCTGAGAGTTGCTACCTCAGATTCAAACTTGTAAGTGGGACAGCCTCTATAAAATACATTATGGGGGCCGCCGCAATTAGCACATGTTCGTGTTTGTGCTGAGCAGTTTGATCGATTATGACTAGGTTGGGCACATATGGGGCATCGGTCTGTGGAACGGCAATGTTTGGCAGGATGTCCAAAGCGCAAACAGTTTTGACATTGACGGGGAGGGGGTTGGTATGGTCGAACAGGGAGGGATTGCCCACCAATGTAGATACGTAAGGGAAGGTCATGTGTACGGAAGGTAATTTTGGCAATATTGGTCGGATTCTTTCGTTGACCTTTAGGAGGAATTGTGTAGCAATGTACTGATTTCACATCTTGGTCTTTGAGGCATCCTAATAAGTCTTCTCCATAGTCTGACCAATCTTTGGTATCGACTGGGCAGTTTGCTGGGGAGAGAGAGACAGTTCCGGTACAGGTATTAAGGGTTGGATGAGGTTCTGCAGGAATGGGGTTGCCAGAATGATCAGTTAAATTTGATAGTGCTATAGATTCAGTTTCTGATCTGACTGTTACCAGACGGGAGCGATCGCGTCTGGTATAGAAAGGGACTCTGCCTACTTGTTTTTGGAGGCATTGTTGAAAGAAAAGAGTGTTGCCTGAGTAAGGAGCTGTAGCAGGGATCACGAAAAATCGGTCTCATTTAGCTGGGCTAAACAGAGTATTTAAGATATCTGTAGGGTTGGTGGTGGTGGATGGTCGGGGACGTGTGGAAGAGAGAGTATTACGGAATGATGGAGAATAAGGTTGCAAGGTATTAATAAGGGAGGATTGGTTGTTTGATGAAGGTTGCAGGGGTAGAGTTGAATTTGAGCCAGTTGGGTGGGTAGGAATGTCTTCTGGAGATGATTCTCTGCTTGGGTGGGTAATGCACTAGTAGGCATTGAGGAGTGGGTAGTAGTTTCAGTGTTCGGAGCCGCGGTCAAAGGAGAGCCTGGGTTGGGGCTATTTGATAAAGCAAGTCTATATCTGAGAGTTGCCACAGACAAACTTGTCGGTGGGGCAGCCCCTATAAAATACATTATGGGGGCCGCCGCAGTTAGCACGTGCGTGACTGTCCAGGCAGTCTGATCTGTTATGACCAGGTCAGGCACATAAAGGGCATCGGGCTGTGGAACAGCAGTGTTTGGCAGGATGTCCTAAACGCCAACAGATTTGACATTGACGGGGAGGAGGTTGATGTGGTCAGACAGGGAGGGATTCTCCACCAATGTAAACATTAATTAAAGAAAAAGTCATGTCTACGGGAGGTAATTTTGGCAGTGTTGATGTGGTTCTTACGCAGACCTCTAGGAGGAATGGAGTAGCACTGCACTAATAGTACATCATAGTCCGTGAGGCAAGCGAATAAGCCTTCTCCACATCTCGCCAATCTTTGTTAAATTAGGGCAGTTTGCTGTAACTGTAACCAGATGGGGATGATCGGGTCGGCTACGGAAAGATACTTTGCCTACTTGTTTTGGGAGACATTGCAGAGAATAGTGTTGTCAGAGTATTGAGCTGTTGGGGGGATCACAAAAAATCGGTCCCATTTGGATGGTCTAAATAGATTATTTGTCGAGATGGAGGGGGTAGAAGAACGGGGACGTGTGGAAGAGGGAGTCTTAAGTAGACAGTAAGGCTGTAGAGTGGTAATAAGGGAGGGTGGGGTGATTGACGAAGGTTTTGGGGATAGAGATGAGGAAGTTGGGGAAGTTGGGAGAGTAGGAATGTCTCCTGGAGACTGAGTCTTGACTTGGGTGGATAATGTACTAGTAGGCATCGAGTAGTGGGTAGTTGCTGTTCATAGTAGTTACTGTTTTAGAGTCATGGGCAAAGGAAAGCCTGGGGTCGGGGAACTGGGAGTTTGAATTGGTAGGGCTATTTGATGAGGGGGCAAGCCTCATTGCCACTAACAATATTGGCCATGGTAAGCCTAGACTATATAGGGGAAAGAAACAGTCTACCTCTCAGGGTCCCCTTGAGGGGCAAGGGCTAGACAACTAAAACGGGAATACCATGCCCATGGCTTCCTCAGGCCATTCAGGACTGGCACAAAGTTACTTTTCATCCTTTCAGTACGGCTCTCACACTTTAGGAAGTGGATAGCAGAAGGGGTTGGTGAAGGGACAGAAACGAAAAGGCAGGAGGGGAAAAAGACTACAATTGAGTCAAGGGCTGAGGCCCAAGGTAGGGGAGATCCCCAGCATTGGAACCTAGTCCTCGCCTCCTAAGACCTCCCATGACAACAATGGACAAGGGATTGGGGTGCATGGAAATGGAAAGGAGGAGAAAAGACCATGCAAAATTGGTTGAGCCAAGCCCCACCATTGAGCCTATCCCTGTCTCCTAAGCCAAGGGTATGGGGGGACCCATCTTGATGCTTGAGCTGTTGAACGGAAGGCAAGAACGAGGTTTGTGAGAGGAACTTACAACTATACTGCACAACATATGCTAGAATGTAATAGCATTCCTTGATTGATAAGGAAAAGGCAATAAATGAATTTATTCTTTTTTCCCTAAATTATTCTCAGGCTAAGATGGCCAAGGCAACTAATCATCCTCCTGGAAGGTTCACATTCCAATATCACGAGATCCTTTGATCTTGTGTCAGACGATTTCTTCCCCAGCTTGGCTTGAAGGGCTTGACACTGTTTGGACACTAATAGGGGAGACAATATTAGAGCTATCTACCCTCCCAGTGCATGTGCATGCATGCACATACATGCAAGGGCATGAATACTAAATACAAATCTTCAGAGGAGAGGAAAACAAACATAATTTTCTCAAGTTTAATTTACAGTCTGGCACAAAGAATCAAAAAAGAAACTGGCCAGAACTTTAAACTAATAACTCTAATTCTCACTGTTCCATAAATAAATAATAAAATAATCTAAAATTGCATACTTGCGCCTAAATCTTGGCCAGGATTCATAGAAAACAATTATCTTGATAAAAATAATACCGAATGTTATATCAGAGATGGATAGTTTACACGAACAGATGAAATGAATATAGTAAAGACAATGATAATGAAATTCAATATAATGACTGTGAAGAAGATAATCAGAGCATCATGTAAATAAATAGAGAAAAAAATAGAATACAAAAGGAATGGTCATAAAAAAAAATAACATACAGATGACAAAAACAATGATAATAATCAGAATTGTAATGATAATGGCTGACAGTTTCTATTAATAATAAAAAAAATTAAACATTTAAACTATCACTATCAATAAACTAATCATGGATGTTTTTTTTATAATGATAATTGTAATACTAATAATATTAATAATACATAATCATCAATAGTAATAAATAATTATCAACAATCACAATAATAATGATAATAATATTGATAATAATAATTACAATATCAAGATATTAGTAATGAAATAATAATAATAATAATGATAATAATAATAATAATAATAATAATAATTATCATCATCATCATCAATAATAATAACAATTACTATAATGAGATATTAGAAATGAAATAATAATAATAATAACTGACTGCAATAAATCCAACTACTAGAATAACAACAGTGACTAAAGATTAATGATGCTCATGAAAATGTCAACAATAATGATATGGAAATGATTAATATGATGACATTCTGTGGTCGACACTCTATAAGGATCACTCTCACACTGGACAAAAGGCTGTATTCCACTATATGCTGCACACATGCAGTGAACACTGGATAAAAAACACAAGGAAAAAGGAAGAAAGAAAGAAAGAAAAAAAAAAGATGGGGGGGGGGAGGTGAGGAAACAAATGCACTTGAGAATACCGCAAGAGAACATCCAAGATATGGAAAACATAAATAGCCACGGAGTCACATCAAAAGGGGAAAAGGAAAAAAACAAAGAAAAACAAAAAAACAAGCAGAAGGAGTAAGGAAGTTGGTCATAACAAATGTGATAAAAACTTGAGAACAGGTTACGTAACTAACAACAAGAGAGAGATGAGGATAAACAAGCATTGATAAGCCTTTCAACATGAGTATTTGATTTTTTTTTCTTCCCCATATTAAAACTCTGAATGAGAGCAACACACCAACAGACTCATGTATATGTGAAGCACTTCCTCTGCCAGTTGCAGAATCTAGAAAATATAACATTCTTTAATATAAATCTATTTACATGACTTGATACCTCATATTATACTACAACCATCTATCTGCTATCATGCTACGTGTCTCCCAGACCTGAAAAAAGAAAACAAAAAAGTTAAAGTCAATGCTTTCTTAGATAACACATTAACCACACATATACATATCAATGAATAACAAATCTCACTCCAAATGAATGGCCCACCTCTAGACCGTGAAGTATAGCTGCCAATAATTTGCATTAAGCATCTGGAAAACTCAGAGATCACAGTTTGCTCTAACTGTGCAGTGGACACTGATGCACTCTCTGCCTTGTCTGCCTGTGCCAGCAGACACTGGCATGTGGCTTCAACGACTTCCTGATTCATGCGACAGTAGCCAGAC